CATTTCAAAAAAAAATATATGTATATATTTTTTATAGTATAAAAAAACGACATGCTTTGAAAAAAACGTTTTGAATGTTCCAGAGAAACAAAGACATATTAAAACAGTTTTTTAAGAAGTTATTTAGTGGTTTCCGAAATATTTCTGTTACCTCTAGATATAAAACTTTGGTTTTATAGTGTTACTGATAACTTTTATAAACATCCCAAATAAGCTCTTTAAGGGTTATTTAAGAGTGATATAAGTATTTCTGAAACCAAATATTAAATTTAGGTTTTATATTTGGGCTAATTTATGGGAATCACTATAAAAACCAAAATGTTTATTGGGACCATGTTTGCAAAATTTGTTAAACTAACTACTACAAACTACAAACTCATTTTACATTAAAATAATAAATTTAATTATTTTCCTAGTACTACATATATATTTTATTTAAATAACATAACTAATTTTCTTTAAATCATTATTTAAAAGCAACATAGCTATGATAATAACCTAATCGTCATAAATATTACATAACAACGATTTTATAGCATCTGCCAGGCCTTGACTTTATCTTTGGGCCCCTGTCAGGTCCTGCCCTGGATTGCATGCACCGTCTCCTCCGTTGGCAGAAGCAATTGATAATTTATGGAAGCGTCAGGTAGTCGACGCCGACGTCGGTGACGTCACACGTTGTTCAGGGTCGACGCCAACCGTCCGTCCGCGTAGTAAAGGAGTACTCTACTTTATCGACCACTGGCATCCGACAGAAGGCGTGTTCGATCCTGCTTCCTATGTTGTGGGTTTTCGGGAAATGCTTTTAATTGGACATTTTTATGAATTTATAATATTATTCTTATTAAAAATTCTTCTATGAAAATATTTTGTAGTAAAATAAAATATTTTATGATACAATAAACCCACTGTTTTTAAAAACGACATAATAAAATCAAATAGAAAGCAAAATAAAACAAAAACATTTTTCATCTTTAATATAAATTACTGCAGTGTTGCACGTAAAGCAACAAACACAGAAAGCAATTTTTACACCATTATTTATTGTGCTGAAGAACGTTTCTTTATTTGCAGTTTCTTAATTAGTTATTGTTAGGTAAAAAAATGTAGATTTAGTCTTTTTGATGTTTACGTTTAAATATTATTTCAATGATCCCCGCCCATTCACCATTTTTTGTACAATGTACTAAAGAGTTTTCTTTACAACCCTGTATATATACGAGGTGTGTTTAGAAAATAACGGGAATTGTTAAATTTCGCGGGTTTGAAGGGTCCGGTTGTCATAAAATTTTCTTTATTATGTTGGTATACATGCCCCCGAAGTATGATAAAAACTTTAGCTGTTTTCATTGTTTACTTTGTCTGTGGCAACCGCTAAGGTTAGACGTGTTTTATGAGCTCGGCGATTTTTCTGTCGTTAAAAGAAATGGATCCAAGATTTTGTATCCAATTTTGCTTTTGAAATAAATTCTGTGAAATGTTAACAAAGGCTTATAGTGAGTCTGCTATAGCATATATATAAGTAAAACAAGAGTTTACAAGTGGTATAAGAGTTTCCAAGATGGCCGTAAAGACGTTGAAGATGAACGCCCCGAACGCACAAGCACATTAACAACCGATAAAAACATGGAAAAAGTGAAAGAAATGGTTATAAACCATCATAGACGTCGCTGATGATGTGGGTATAAAACGCGTGGCAGCAAAATTTGTTCTAAAATTGTTAAATTTTGAACAACATTTTTGGCCAAAAACAATACTGTAATGATGCCCCAGCCTCCATATTCGCCAGACATGCCTCTGTCTGACTTTTTCCTATTCCCAAAAATAAAGAGGACCTTAAAGGGCCGTCGTTTTACAAGCATAGATGACATTAAAAGCGCATCGCTGAAAGAACTAAAGGCATCCCAAAGATCGAGTTTTAGAAGTATTTCGGGTATTGGAAGAAGAGCTGGCACATGTGCATAATATCCAATGGGGACTATTTTGAAGGCGACAACATTAATGTAGACGAATAAATAAATATTTGTTTCAAAAAACGAAAATTCCCGATATTTTCTGAACACACCTCGTATTTATAAAATATGAAAATATATGCGTCATAAATATAAACTTATTGTGGTACCATATCTTCTAAAATTAAATTTTTAATACAGCCATTAGTGCTACAAATTTGTTTTGCAAGCACACTAAATAGGAATTAGTAGGGATTTAATTATAGCCGACAATTGAAATTCACTAATTATAATTACTATTTAAAATTGTTTGTGTTCCCAGCTATAATAACAATGGCCCGAGCTTTGCAGGTATCACTAAAACGACATCTACATTTTAATTACTTGTTTGCTCTTATTTAAATTTTAATTGTACTTTTATTAAACAAATATTAAAAATATTCCCCAACGATGTTGGTATCTTCAAATGCAAAGTGTACCTGGACAATATTTTTTTAAAACTGAATAAAATATAATAAAAAAATCCTAAACCGTAAACAAAATCCATTATTTTTAGTTTTCGGAAAACTATAGAATAAAAACACTTATAAAGGTACAATTTTCCAATTAAATTATGAAGTAAGCAAAGAAATTAATAACATTAGACTTTCTTTATTGTTCTAACACGAAAATTTACTTTCTTAACAAATTTAAATTCTACTTAATGAAGCTGCTTAATCGTCCAAATTAGTCAAGACGTTTAATGGTGTTAAAATTACTGCTTTAAGTCCTTTTATACAATGAGTAACCCACAAGGGGGTTTTGTATTTTTTTTAATAAACTATTTTTAATGTAAGGTTTGCAAAATTATGAAATTAGATTGCGTTAGCAAACTTACGGGTGTCTCAAATTTTAATCGGAAGTGAAATGGTCAATAAAACTAATTTAATTATAGGTAAAGTTTTCACAAATGTTATTAAAATACTGTTAGTACTTTAATTGAAGTTTTTGTTGAGGCACCCTTTAAAACAGGAAAATTGTAATTCACATTATGTTGCACAAACATTTGCCTATCCTCACACGCCACTGTGCACACGAAAGCAAACATTAAAGAGAAAAACGAGGGAAGGAAAAAAATCGTTGTGTTGGCACAACGATTCTAACTAATATTGGAATAAAGTCAGTGTGACACGTCACTGGCCAATTTTATGTATAGGCATACATCAATGTTTTCGATTAAACTGAGCAGCAAGTACAAAAGTCAATATCAATATCCCTGTTTTCCTTTTCTGTTGATACACTGTTCAAATTTTTAGATAATGCAAAATTAAACTGTTTTGATCTTTTATTTTAATATATGTATATATATTATGTTCCAGATTTTAAACCCCAATTAATTATTTTTTACAATGTTTTAAAAGTCTAAAACCTATCCTCCGTGACTGTTACTCTTTCTAGTTTAACCTACATGTTCAAATATCTAAGGTAGTAAAAGCATACTAAAAATATCAGTTCACCAAGTAAATTTAACACATCCAAAGCAATCGAATCAAATATAAAATATTATTAAAAATTAAGAGAAATAATTTTTTTAACCATTTATGTAGGTGTTACAAAAATTGATTCTATTCTCCGTGAATATGTTTTTGATTTAAATTTTATGCAACGTATGGCGCTTTAATCATTTTAAATGAGCAAAAACCTCTGTTTACGACATTATAGATGCATGTGATACCTGAAGGTCAGTTAGAATTTATATGCAGATGAGATTGTTGCTGTTTTATAATTTAAAAGTTTAAGTTTATTAATTTGCTATTTAAAAACATATCCACCGTGAAGTGTAATATCTTTTTTTATAAATATTTAATGTATGTATTACAAAATATTAAGGTGTCAAAAGATACAATAACTTATTTCAAATATACAAAAGGATGTTTAAAAAAAACATACCAAATCCTAACCTCCGTGAAGCTATCGTCCGTGAAGCTCTAATATTCAAAATGTATGATTTCTTAAAATTCTTGCATTAGTGCAGAACCACTTATGTTACGTTATTACTAACCCTGGTGGCTTCCCAAAAACCCCATTTTAGACTAACAGTGAAACAACCAAAAATAAAAAATAAGAACTGTTATTTTAGGCTAAAATGTAATTGTTTTATGAATGTCAATTTTAATAAAAGACGCCTTCATTTAGCACGCTATATTTGGGTAGTAAAATCATTGCTCCGCATAATACGCTAAGGATAGAGGAGTAGTATACATTAAGCTCAACTTAATCTACGAAATGCTTCAGTAAGTTCACTAAAATGGCAGCAATATAAATGCAGTAATTTACATAAATTGTTTTGTTTCTAATTGGATCTTGAGCCGTAAGTAAAACAATCCGCTAATCGCAACAGTTCAGGTTGGAGTGATGTGCATATACCTATCCTTATCAGTTAATTACAAATTCCGCACATACTATTTTAATTTGTTTTTAGTGGAGTTAACATGCGAAACGAAAGGTTTTTTTAATAAAAAATTGAATTAAAAATGTATTTTTCTTAAACCTCATCATGCATCTTTAAAAAATATCATAATTAATCCCGGCGCATTCGCCATTTTTGAAAGTATTTAACAGATTTTAATAAAATTTGGTATCTCGGGCTTTGGAAACAGACGGGAATGGGACAAAAAAGTACAGGACGACAAAAAACATTGTTTTTTATATATAATAATATTTTTCCATTGAACCACGCTGGCAAAGCCGCGGATGTACAAATAGTAATGTAAAATATAACACGTGGATGTTATCTCTAATCAGATAATAAAATCGTTTACAAATGTTTTGCACTTAAAAAACAATTTCGTGATGAATTTTAAATTTGTAACTATATTTGGCTTGCATTACGTTGCGTTTTTAGCAACTCAAAAAATATTTCCGCGAATTCATAAATATTTTAATTGTTTAGTAAGGTCCTTTAACATTTAAATTTAAAATTGTTAATATTTAAAATTAAATATTTTTTTCACCTGAAAAGTTTCTGTAGTTTTTTTAATTGAATTTAATGTTTTTTATTATTTTCAGGGAGACTTGTTATAATTTAAAATGGAGGACGACATAGATAAAACAATAAAATGAGCCCAACAAAGGTTGAAACAAGAAAAGGATGCGTCCGAACGCCCCATTTCGATATACTGTAAGTATTATGTTTTTAAAAAGTATAAAATATAAAGTATAAAGTTTGTAAGTACAATGTATATTATAATGTACTTAGTACATATATATTTTTAAGTTTTATATAATGTTTTAAAAGTCTAAAACCTATCCTCCGTGAATGTTACTCTTTCTAGGTTAACCTATATGTTTTCAAATATCTGAGGTAGTAAAAGCATACTAAAAATATCAGTTCCCTAATAAGTAAATTAGACACGTCCAAATAAATCGAATCAAATATAATATATTATTAAAAATTAAAATAACCATTTATGTAGGTGTTAGAAAAATTGATTCTATCCTCCGTGAATATGTTTTTGCTTTAAATTTTATGCAACGGATGGCGCTTTAATCATTTTAAATAAGCAAAAACCTCTGTTTACGACTTTATAGATGCATGTGATTCCTGAAGGTCAGTTAGAATTTATATGCAGATGAGAGTGTTGCTGTTTTATAATTCAAAAGTTTAAGTTCATTAATTTTCTATTTAAAAACATATCCACCGTGAAGTGTAATATCTCAGTAAGTAGATTTTTTTATATATATTTTATGTATGTATTAAAAAATATTTATGTGTCAAAAGATACAATACCTTATTTCAAATTTAGAAAGGGATATTTAAAAAAAACATAGGAAATCCTTACCTCCGTGAAGCTACAACTACAACAAACTACAAAATATGTACATATGGGGTATTAAAATATTTAATTTTTTTTTTAAATGAAGAAAATCGATCAGTACATACTTTATTAAAAATATTAATTTATTTTTGACGATGCAAAAGTAAATGGTATTCGATTTTGCATGAAATATATAGTAATTTGTCACTAAAATGGCATTATAACTTTATAACGTCGGCAACCACGAATACATAAACGTGTAGAATTGCCGCCTGGTCGTACATAGTCTAAAATTATCATTTATTATTGCAAAACTGGGTTGTAAATTTAAATATATATGTTGTGAATGTGAATTAAAAATGTATACAACTCTACAACCTAGATAATTAAAAAAAATCGGTACTAAATACATTCTTCATTTCGAGTTTTTAATTGATAGTTAATCAAGATTTTATTTACACATAAACATTGATAACGCCTTAATTTAGAAACCTAAATTACCTTCATACCCATTTACTTTTAATTAAATTAATCCCGACTCTTTCGTTATTTTATATGTCATTTATTACCCAATAAAACAAACTAATTAACAATTAAATATTAAATAAACCCAGCAACTTAACATTTCATATACATATACCACGTTGTGGATCTATAAACCCCACTTTTTGTTATTAAACAAATCGGCAAAAAAGGGCTCTATACTCGGGAGTCCATAAATCTCAATTAAAGCAATCGTAGTAAATCATAATTCTAAAGATAGAGAGGTAGACAGACGTACAGGCACACCCCAGACCAAGCTGCTTATAATCGCAGCAAAGTTTTTTGTCTGCTCGTCTATCCTTTGAGGTTATACTCATTTATTCAACTTCACTTAACTAAGCTTGCCTTAAATTACAATTGATCGCCAATTCGAGACCTTGAGATTTGCCAAATGGCAAGCTAAGTTTATTCATTTGTATGTTTTTTAAGAAAAATTATATTCTAATTTATGAATTCACAGTTAAAAGCCAAAATACTAATTTTTTATTGCGGCAGCATATGAGGAACTTTATATTACATTGAAAAAAAACGTTTTTGCATAATTTAAAAAAATAGTGTTTTATTAAAACCTAGACCGAAAACACTCTTGTAACTTTTAAATTAATTCACAAAAAACCTGTAGCATGAAAAATCCAATTTAATATTTCAACATAAATTAAACGGTTGAAAGAACCTAACGTAGTAATAATATGTGTAAAAAAAGGACAGCACGCGATTTTCAAACTTTTTCTGTGCGGTCTGTAATGAAGCTGATTTAGAGAAACACAGGATTACTTTAAAACTTTGCCCATTTTAAGTTTTAAGTTATAAATTGCTAACTTTGGAATTTATGTTGAATAAATAAAAATTATAAGTATTTACCTATCTTTGAAGTTTGTTATAATATACAATGTATTTAATTAATTTTAAAAATAAAAATAAATCTCCATTTATTTTAGTTAAAATAACTACAAAATGCACACAAAGTTTATTCATTTTAACTGTAAAATATCCTCATATAAATATAGTTATACGTCAAAAGTTTTGAATAACAAGCTTCTTAAATAAATAAAAGAAATATGCAACCGAGTGCATCTAATAAAACTTTGGAATAAATTAAAGTGTTTCTTGACACAAAATAAAGTTTTACAAAGCACTCAATCTTGTTTGTCGCTAAAATTGTATTATATCGTCCAGTCACCAGTCAAAGTAGTCCAATTAAAAAAAAATATTTAGAAAAGACATATTTTGTTTTCCTCTAATTTATTTATATTAGGTTTGGGTAAACAGAGTGGGTAGTAAATACATCTGTGACAAAGGCTTTAATGCTATCTTAATGTAATTTAATAGCGCCGCGTTCCTGGGATATCAAAGTCCAGAGAGCCAAGTTAGTTTCTTAAAGTGCATCTGCACAGCTAGAAATACCATATCATAGAGCACAGAACTGCTCTAATTTAATTTTAATACAACATCAAATTTAAGTGGTAGGTTAAGTCCTATTGCAAACTATGACACGTATAAATGTCTTAATTTGTGAAGTATATTTTGTTTGTTATAGTTTTGGGTGAATATATTTTAAAGTAAAAATGCTTATTTTTTATTTTTGGTTTTTTCACTGTTAATCTAAAATGGGGTTTTTGGGAAGCCACCAGGTCTAGTAATAACATAACATAAGTGGTTCTGCACTAATGCAAGAATTTTAAGAAATAATACATTTTGAATATTAGAGCTTCACGGAGGTTAGGATTTCGTATGTTTTTTAAAACATACCTTTGTATATTTGAAATAAGTTATTGTATCTTTTGACACCTTAATATTTTTTAAAAATACAATTGTACTATGCTCCACACCTCAAAGTCCCACCACGTGACCAAGTACGCAGTCTTTTGAAAACTTGGCATTTAAGGCTTTTCAGGTTATGTATCTGTCAAAGTATAGTCAATGAAAGAAATAATATTTATAGTGTTACCGCTTATGTTTAAGCGTTAAAAGTTAATAAATCTTTATAGTATCACAATAACAATGGTTGGTTTAAGAATTTAGGAATATAAATACTGCATTTAATGAAATTCCAAAGTGTAAATATTTTTGTGCATTGGGTCTACTTGGCATTTAAGGCTTTTCAGGTTATGTATCTGTCAAAGTATAGTCAATGAAAGAAATAATATTTATAGTGTTACCGCTTATGTTTAAGCGTTAAAAGTTAATAAATCTTTATAGTATCACAATAACAATGGTTGGTTTAAGAATTTAGGAATATAAATACTGCATTTAATGAAATTCCAAAGTGTAAATATTTTTGTGCATTGGGTCTACATTTCTCCATAAAATAGTTTTTACTAAACAGCATTTATTAAAAAAAATCTATCTTCTCTATTATGAAATAAGAATATCTGTATCAAAGGTAGGTTAATGTATTAGAAAAGAAAATATAATCTGATTTTGTATTTTAAGGTTAGAAAAATCTATTTTGACCATAATAAATAAGTGGATTATTTGGAAGAGTGTGTTAATATGGTTATAAATAAATATAGGTATACTAAATAATTATTGAATAGGGTTCAAATTAAATTGAAGCTTTTATACTTCTAATGACAAAACTTGTGCATACCTCTCGGCATACCTACTTTAAGTTAGATTATAAGAAAACAAACAATTTTTAGAGAAACTTGCAATCTGAAAATTTTTAATACTCCCATGACATGTGATTTATAATGATTTTTCGATGTAGATCAAGTTCAGTCGAAGCTTTTTAACTATTTGTATTGACAAAACTTTATGTAGGTGCACTTTAAGCTGGATAAGAAAAACTACCACATTTTTAAATACCATATTATACAGTCTTTTAAATAATCCAAAATACTTATTTATTTTCGTCAAAATAAATTTTTCTAACCTTAAAATTACAAAATTAGATGATATTTTTGTTATAATATATTAACCTACCTTTAAAACAGATATTCTTATTCCATAATAGAGAAGCTAGATTTTTTTTAATAAATGCTGTTTAGTTAAAATTATTTTATGGAGAAATCCAGATATTTGAACCAAATGCACAAAAATATTACTTATTTGGCACCATACACTTTAGAATTGTATTAAATGCAGTATTTATATTCTTAAATTCTTAAACCATCCATTGTTATTATAATGTTATAAAGATTAATACATTTTTAACGCCTAAACATAATATTATTTCTTTCGTTGACTATACTTTGACAGATACATAACCTGAAAATCCTTAAATGAAAATTTTTTTAAAAGACTGCGTTCCGTACGTGGTCACGTGGTGGGACTTTGAGGTGTGTAGCATAGTACATAAATAAAATATTTACAAAAAAAATCTACTTACTGAGATATTACACTCGATTGCTTTGGATGTGTTTAATTAACTGATATTTTTACCTCAGATATTTGAAAACATATAGGTTAACGTAGAAAGAGTATCAATCACGGAGGATAGGTTTTAGACTTTTAAAACATTGTTAAAAATAATTTCGTATAAATGTAAAACTCTACTATAAAACTAAGATTTGTAAAAATCAGCAGCAGCAATCTTTTAAACCTTTGTAAACAAAATTGTACATTTTTTGTTTTCAGATGGCTGCCGAGAGCGGCCCTGCGCTCCGTGGAGGGCGACCCATCCGACTGCGTGCTGGTGGTCGGTGTCTCGCGACCGAAGATGGCTCTGGCCATCTTGACCGTGATGCTTCTATCGCTCTTCCTCACCTTCCACATGATTTATGACAGCGCCCTTAACAGCCTCCATCAAGTCGACCACGAGCGCTCCCGCCCCCCAATATTGCTGCTGTCGCGGCGGTTGTATCCGGCGGCCGCGAGGAGGCTTCCGCAGGCCATCATCATGGGGGTGAGGAAGTGTGGCACCAGGGCGCTTTTGGAGATGCTGTACCTGCACCCCCGGGTGCAGAAAGCGGCAGGGGAGGTACACTTTTTCGACCGAGATGACAACTACAACAAGGGGTTGGAGTGGTATAGGATGCAGATGCCGCATTCCTATCACGGCCAGATCACAATAGAGAAGAGTCCCAGTTATTTCGTTACGCCGGAGGTAAAAAAATGTTAATTGAATGAAACAAAAAAAATATTTTTTTTTTATTTTTATTTTTTTTTTTATTTTTTTTTTTATTTTTTTTTTTTATTGTTTCGACCTTTACTTGATGAAACTCCATGTCACTAATATATAACTGAGTTTCACGAATTTATTCAAATTTTATTATTATTATTCATATCAAATAATTTCAAAATTTTGCAAGTTGAAAATAAGGGTACGAAGTTAAATTTGCTGGAATCTTTGGAAATTAATAAATTTAAAAAAATCTGATATTATTCTAAATGATCAAATCCCCAAAATTATTTTATTACAACTTTTGTTAAACTTCGACAGGTAAAATAATTATACAGTACTAATATTTTATAAAAAAACCCATTACCTGCAATAATTGTGTTATATAAGTTCGTTATTAGAAAAGTTTGAAATCATTTCTGAAGAAGCTACTGTGTTAGCGAAACAACTGTCAAATAAAATTTAAATAAATTCGTGAAACTCAAAAACAGTGTTTGTTTTTTATCCAGTTATATATTAGAAAAATTGAATTTATAAAAATAATTATAAAAAACTTTTACACCATGGAATAATATCGCTTAAAAACTAATGAGTAGGCCGGTGCATGTATTTCATTTTAAAAGCCCGACAAAGTTTGAAAGCAAACTCTTTTCACAGGTGGAAGTGCGCTCTGTGCTCTTGTAGGTGCCACAACAGGGTTTTCCTCCATTAAGAATCTAAAAGTTGGAAACTTTATAATAGCACTTTAATATACGGTCGTCTACACGTAGTATAATTTACCTTAAATGCACCAAATTTACGATGTTAACTACTGAATAAAGTTGTTTTAATATGTTCAAGAAAAATCTGAGTTTTTAAATTCAATTAAAATTTGCTTTGTATTCGTGGTAGTTTTTTTATATTAAAGGACTAAATACATAATGTATCCAATTTCATTTGAAATTAGACCTAATACCTTCAAAGCTAAAAAAGTAAATGTACCTTTTTTGTACATGTTATTCAAAAAGTAATTTACCTTTCAAATTATTTTCTTGCATTTTTACCAGACATAATTACTCAGACTTAGTGGTCTATTTGCTTTTATAATTGGATTTTAAAAATGTATACAAATTTTTTTAAATTTTATCGACAAACATAAAAAAATTAATTACTTGATTAAATTCCCATTTATTGACCAAGGGATTATTTTAAATGCGACTAGTTATTAGGGATGACAGTTTTTAAAAACACAATTAACTAATTGCTAATTAGCTAATTATTAATAAATATACAAAAAAACGCTATAAAAATAACACAAAAAATGTAATTAATCCCGGCGCATTCGCCATTTTTGAAAAATATTTTTTAAACTTACGTTTCTGGTAAAATTTCAAAAGCTAAAGAAGGATTTCTCTTTTGTGAAAAAGTTACTTATTTATTTAAAAATTATATGCTATATGCATAAACTAAAAATAAACTTATAATAAAAACACTTTAACCATATTTATAATAACCCAGTTCTGCGAGCTAATTTAAGGTTAAACGCAGTTTGAAATTACTTTTTTAATGGGAACAGATAATCTGAATTGACAGAGCGTATCCTGGATCGTAAAAAAGGCGCCAAAACTAAACTGCTTACCCAGGAACGACTCGTCGCAAGGGTAGTATTAAATTAAATGACCAAACTTGGTCTGAAGGTTATTTAAATTTTCATTACGGTCATTTCAAGCATACGAACGGGACAAATCACAAAACTGTTTTTATTTAAAAAAAAATGTAGGTAATTTATCACAATTATTTTTGCATCAAAATTGTCAAATATATATTCCTTTTATTAGGCTATACATTAGATGAATAAAAATCGATAGAAATATTTTATAAAAATAGAGATAATTTTAATAAGTGACAGGTGGACACGACAAGATAAATCTTTTTTTGTCCCGTCCACACATTTCAATTAAACCAGATAGGAATATTATTTATTTAAAATTTATATATGCCCTTGTTTTAAAGATTTTAGTTTTTTTCTTATAAATTTATAAAAAGGATAGTTTGTTTGTTTAAACATTATTTACGTTTACTTAAAAATAAGTATATTTGAATATTTAATAATAGTTTTATAAAAACATGCAAAAAAGTATAGTAATTGGACATTTTATATAGTAATTGGACATTTTATATAGTAATTGGACACATGGACCATAGTTATTGGACATACAATTTTTATATAAACTTAACTACTTTAAATTGCTGTTTTAGGTAATTTTTTTTATTTCGTTTTTGTAAATATCATATAATTCATATATTTCTTTCTCGGATTCCTCATCCCTTTTCTGGATTCTGACTACTAATTCCTTGATCTGACTTCTGAAATAGTTTTTTGCAAATATCATTAATTGTGGTGTCTCTAGTTTGTGAAGCATTTATAATGTTTAGGCCGGAACAGGATGATTTATTTATATCTAATATTTTTTCGGGTGGTATGTTAAAAATATTTTCCGAATTTGTTAATTTTGTTGGCATTAGTTTTTTATGTTCTCTATCAAGCACTGTTATTCTGTAAGATGTCCTGGGACGAAGAAACCACCAAATTACTTACTTTCTAAAAATGAATTAGTCAAAAATGTCATAGTGAAAAAGCAGCCACTAATAATTCTCGTCAACAGCAATTTGTATCCAGGACATTTAGCAGTAAATTCCTATGAATCGTTGAATCCGAAAATGTCGTCAAGTTATAAAAGTAGAACCGTTTTTTAAATATAATCAATTTTACATATAAAATTGAATTGACTTTATCTCAAATACTGCTTAACTTTTATAGTTTCGGATTCAGGGGACAATTTTACATAGGAATTGGCTGCTAAATGTCCGGGATACAAAAAGATTATGATATTGGACATATGTCCAATAATAGAAATTTACATTTTTTACCAACCAGTAATTGGGCACTGGCCATTTTACTGTTTGTTTTGAGAATTAAAATTAAAACGCATTAAAGTGACACCACACACTGATCTGTACACTTTTTAGAAATATTTTTTATTGTAATTTTGTCCTATATTGGACGCAAAATAAAGTAGTTTAAATATTATTACCGACTGAAATATTTATAATTGTATTCGGCGTCATCTAATGATTTGACTTTAAGGTAACTATTTATAGAACACTTGTTTTTACAGTATTAATGTTAATTGTCCAATAACCATAAAGTGTCCGATTACTGTCTACAACAAACTAAACCCGAATCCAAAAAACATGTCTATAATTTAAACTTTATTGTTGTCAACATTCGATAAAGAAATACCTTGTTATGGCCTAGGCCGATAAAAAATTTTATGAGGCAAGTAATTAGTTCGATTTTTTCTCGCTAGGGGTATTGTTTTGACAAATTAATCCTTTTTTTAAGAAATTAACGTACTAAACTGATTTAATTTATTTATAATAAGCACTAATTTGTTTGTTTTACTGTTAATGTTTAATATTTTTCATTAAATTATTGTAAAATTAAATATAAATAATAAAACAAAAAGTGAGGTTAGGCAACCAAGAAAACGCACGAATATTTTTCTACGATTTAAATTATCTTTAAGTTTTCAGTGAAATTAAATGTTAAACACAGGTTAAACATTCCAAACTACCTATTTTTTAAATAAAAATCCAAACAAATTTAAATTAGATACCTACCTATTTATTAAACAATTAATTGAATTCAATGTAATAGCAAAAATCCATTTCTACTTAAATTATGTTGCTAGGTATTGTCAAACTATTACTGATTCTAAAAGCAATAATAATTATTGTACATTTAACGTAATCTTTAGCTAATAAATAAATGAGATTCTAAAAAAGTGAGGTTAGGCCGCTTTGATGTTGAACTAAATTTACCTATTTAAAGTAATGTTGCATGTAATAATTATTTTAAAATTGCTACAAACGTTTCTTAAAATTGTAGTGACGCTGAACTTAATTGTAGGTTCCCGAAAGAATCCGAGCAATGAATGCTAGCGTGAAGCTTCTTCTCATAGTGCGCGAGCCAGTGACGCGCGCAATCTCCGACTACACTCAGCTGCGAGCGAACGCGGCAACCGCGCCTCCAACGCTCCCCACCCCTCCCCCCAAGTCCTTCGAGCAGCTGGCCCTCCACCCCAACGGCTCCATCAACGAGGCCTATCGCCCCCTGGCCATCTCCGTCTATCACAACTATCTGCACAGGTGGGTAAAAAGTTTAGAAACAGTAGACACATCTTAAAATGTATAATGGGTTGCATACAATATGTTATCCTTATAATATATGGTATTAGATAAATACAATTATTTTTACCTGGTTTAGAATTATTTTTTGTTATTTAATTGTTATACCTACCTAATGTTAAGTGTTTTGTGAATGTTTGATTGTAAGAGTTTGTGTCAATGTGGTTAAAAGTTTTTAAAAATTACTAAATAATATTTGGATTTTATAGAATTTTTTAATGTGTAAATTTTAAAGTTTTATTTGCTTGATTACATTTACGAAACCTAACTGAAATACAAAAACCCTTTGAAATCAAGCAATTAAAAAATATATGTTTAACTTTTAGGTAAAAATAATTAGAAAATTCATTTTATTTAATTACACTGGAACTCACGAAAAAGGCTTAAAATTGAGACCTTATTTGAATTGTTTCCATGACCATAAGAAGTTTTTCGTGTCTCCCATTTTTTCAATATTAATGTTTAAAACATTTTACTAAAAGTTTTAGATAAATCTACACAGAGAAAAGTAATCTCTTGCTTTAAGAAAATGCATTTATTTGAAACAGTTTTTCTTGTATGAAGAAAAATTGTCTTATTCGTAGTTAGTTCTTGTTTACAATAAGAAAATACTATTATTTGGTTGTAAATCATGAGTTTCTTGAAAACAACTTATTGTTTTGATTAATTGTAAAGAAATATTTATTTAGAGCAATTAAATAAATTGTTTGGATATAGGTTGTAGGGATTTAGTTTAATCAAATGTTAATACAAGCATATAATATCTTATTTTAACAAAATAATAGAATTGATACAAGTAAATGTTTTGTTTCTTTAAGTAAGATAAAAAGTCAACTAAATATTTACTTGTATTAAACAAACCATCAGTTTAAAAAGTCAAATAAACCCAAGTTTTCCACTAAATAAATATCTTCTTGTATCATATCGAAATAAATAATTTATTTGAGTCAAGACAGATATAGTAAAATCAAGAGATTACTTTTCTCTGTGTATGTAGTTTAAAAAACTATTTCTTGTATATCAGTCAGCTACTTGCAATATTCTATAAACCTATACCTACCCACTCACTATTGAATGTTAGTGTGTAGTGTATTTACCAAAAATGAATTTTGGTGTCTCGAAATTTAAAAATCCCCAAATTAGATTTTTTATTTCGTATTTTATAATTTTCCTAATAATATAGTTATAGTTGCATAGTTGCGGTTTTAAATTAAAACATTAGCTTGTATTTACATAATTGTTTTGCTATTTTTATAGAATTTTTAAATGGGTATTTATTTCTAATTTTAATCTTTGATACCAGGTTACAGATGCATTGTTAATTTAAAAAATTGGCAGAGGATATATTTGTGTACAAACAAAATGAAGACTGTAAACAAACCAATTTCATTAAAAATGCTTTTTCCGACATTTTAATAAAATCAACCAAAATAGAAAGAAGCTTTATTAAAAGTTAGCGTATTGTTATTTTGAATAAATTTTTTACACTGTTAAATAAATGTATAATGGGTTGCATACAATATGTTATCCTTTTATTTTTTATCACTATTCTTAAAAACATGTTGTCTTTGTGTTAAGGTGGTTGGAGGTATTTCCCCGGGAGCAGATACTCATAGTGAACGGGGACCTTCTGATAGAAGACCCGGTTCTGCAGATCCAAAAAATCGAACGTTTCCTCGGCCTGGAACCGCGCATCGGCACCCAAAACTTTTACTTCAATGAAACCAAAGGTTTCTACTGCCTGCGAAACGAAACATCCGACCGATGTCTGCGAGAGACCAAAGGCAGGAAACACCCCAGGGTGCAAGCGGGAGTGGTGTCGAAATTGAGGAAATATTTTTTGGAGCACAACCAGAAGTTGTATGAGCTGCTCGGTGAAGATTTGGGATGGCCAGAAGAATAATATTAAGTTAGATATATTAAGTTTTTTTGTATGGTTTGTATGGTCTACTGGTGTAGTTTTAAACCATGTCTTGGTACATAAATTTTACAAGTAACTTAGACATATCATAATTGTGAAAATATTATATTAAGTATTTTACAAAAAAACGTATTTTTTGTACCAAGATAAATACTAGAAAGTCACAATGGGATAGTTATTTTATTACATATTCAAAAACCATAAAAAGAATTTTTGAAATAAAAACACCCATTGTGTAATATTTTGCTCAATTTCTAGATACCAATTTTTTATCACATACAAAATATAAAGAGTTGTGCAATAAGTTACCAAATACATATCAAAAAAGTACCGTGTGTTTCACAAAATATACGCCATTTATGTGAATGTATACATATCATACCAAGTGAGAAAAAGTATTTTTTAGGAAAATAATATAAAATAGGCTGTATATGGATGAAACGCACAGTGAGATCGAAAAAACGAATTATTTTTATTTCAATTTTCTCTCTAACTCTATCTCTTATACCTGATGTATACAGGGTGTTCCACGACTTCACAAAACAAGATTTTGACTGTAAAGTATTTTTTACTATTATCCACCAAGATAAATTAAAGTACACTAAACAAAATTTAATTGTGGAACACCCTGTATAATTAAAAAATGATTAATTGTGGACCTGGTTTTTCTGTTGGATCATATTGATCAGTGCCTTATTTACTTTTAAAGTTAAAAGTAGTCCACATTGGAATACTATCCAATTGATATTTTTTAAATTTACAAATAAATCAAACCTTAACCTAATTTTTACCCCGGAGCATTCGCCATTTTCGACTAAATTAAAAAAAATTACAAATTAAATTTATATTAAAACCATAAACTTATATAAATGTATAAACATATATATGTATATTTGAAATTCATTTAACTTTCCAAATTAAGACCTAAGACACAAAAAAGGAAATATTGCATTACTTTCAGGAAACGAAACACGAAATTAGCCTTAAAATGACAGATAGACAACCTAAATTATTTGTATTTAAATGTCAAAGTAAAAATTTTGGGAGTGGGGAAATATTAAAAACTAAATTTTGTTTTTTAGTTTAAAACCCAATTTTTGAAAGGAACTTTCAGATTTATAGCAATGCAAAATGTAATTTGTAAGTCATACATTTTAATATAACATAATCCAAACTTTGTTTTATATCATTTTTACTAAACTCGCGAACTCCAAATTTACAAAAATAGTGTTAAAACTTAAAAAATATCAATTTTACGCTTTCAGTGCAGTAAGTTATTAATTATTAAGTTAATATAAAAAACTGGGTAAATTGGAAAAAGCAATAGTTTTCCTTTAGATAATAATCGTTTTAAAAACACAAGAATCGTATTAAATAATAATTTAATTGATTAAGAAAACAAATTAAACAAAAACATATCAGAAAAATTGCCACCTTAGATCATAAGAAAAATTATATAGTAAGCAAGTTTATTTTTTAGATAAAACGTTCAAAAATATTTTATAATAATTTAAAGCAAAAAATATAACCGCAATACCAAATTTATTCTTATTAACAATCAAAATATTTTTTGTTTGAAAGTACCAAGTTACATTTAAATTAGAAAAAAACAGAAAATATTGCGATTGAAAATAAAAGTATAAGAATTATTTTTAAAAATTGACCATTAAAATATATTTACTTTTTACACTATTTTAAGGTATTTTTGAATGTGCTAAAATTAAGGCTGCTTTTAACCAAAACATATCAAACTTGATGTTATTAACATTAACCTTAACACATATCAAAATGTGATTGTAATTTACAAAAAAAAATGTATATAATTATAAATATGTGGTATTAGATAAATACAATTATTTTTACCTGGTTTAGAATTATTTTTTGTTATTTAATTGTTATATTATGTATACCTACCTAATGTTAAGTGTTTTGTGAATGTTTGATTGTAAGAGTTTGTGTCAATGTGGTTAAAAGTTTTTAAAAATTACTAAATAATATTTGGATTTTATAGAATTTTTTAATGTGTATATTTTAAAATTTTATTTGCTTGATTACATTTACGATACCTAACTAAAATACAAAAACCCTTTGAAATCAAGCAATTAAAAAATATATGTTTAACTTTTAGGTAAAAATAATTAGAAAATTCATTTTTAGCTCTTATTATGTTTTATTTAATTACACTGGAACTCACGAAAAAGGCTTACAATTAAATTGAGACTTTATTTGAATTGTTTCCATGACCATAAGAAGTTTTTCGTGTCTCCCAGTTTTTCAATATTAATGTTTTGAACATTTTACTAAAAGTTTTAGATAAATCTATGTATGTTAAAAAACTATTTCTTGTATATCAGTCAGCTACTTGCAATATTCTATAAACCTATACCTACCTATAGTCTCACTTTTTGAATGTTAGTGTGTAGTGTATTTACCAAAAAATCAATTTTGGTGTCTCGAAATTAAAAAATCCCCAAATTAGATTTTTTATTTCGTATTTTATAATTTTCCTAATAATATAGTTATAGTTGTATAGTTGCGGTTTTAAATTAAAACATTAGCTTGTATTTACATAATTGTTTTGCTATTTTTATAGAATTTTTAAATGGTTATTTATTTCTAATTTTAATCTTTGATACCAGGTTACAGATGCATTGTTAATTTAAAATTGGCAGAGGATATATTTGTGTACAAACAAAATGAAGACTGTAAAAAATGAACCAATTTTATTAAAAATGCTTTTCCCGCCATTTTAATAAAATCAACCAAAATAGAAAGAAGCTTTATTAAAAGTTAGCGTATTGTTATTTTGAATAAATTTTTTAAACGTAGTAGAGTATACACTGTTAAATAAACGCACTAAAAATGGGTATCATAATTAAAAATTTGTTTTTATACAAGTAACGTTTAGCTAAAATATTAAATTTTATATGTAATGTATCCACATACATATTTTAGGCGATGTTCTAGGAAACTAAAACAAACATGTCGAATGCAATAATTTCATATTTCAAATATGTATGTGAAATACAAATTTTTAAATTATTTCTACCTGAAAACCATGTACTTGTGGGTAAATAAATGTGATCAGAGCAAAAGTTTGTTTTACATTTTACCTCCTTTCTGCCAAAGTATTTTTCTAATATTAATAAACAAGTTTAAAATGTGGGAATGTAATAACACAATTTGTATTTGCATTGAAATTTTATTTTGGAACCAAAATATTTTTTTACAACAGTATGTAAGTATTACTAAATTGTTAAATAACATACAAATAAATAGTAACATAATATGATTTTATAAAAATATAGCTTTTATTTACTATTGTTATTAATTTTTTTAATAAATATTACACTAAAAATTATAATTACAGAAACTACCGGTTAAAAACAATATACAAAAATCATGCACTCATTTAGTAATAATAATATTATAAACTTATAAAAACGCCTTTGATTTAAATCGAGTTTATTCTTAATTAGCAATTAACTAGGTTTCTATTAAATATGCCCTGATGCAAAATTAATTAGTTTTTAATACTTATTACCATAAAACAAGAAATAGTAAAAAAAATTAATTTTATTTTGCAAAATTGGCAACGTAGGAACAAATTTTAACCTAAATCGTTTTGTTACATTGTATTAGGTTTTATTTAGAGATCTTTAAGTGTTTATTACTTATTCAAGTAGATAGATTGTCTAAAATAAATGCGAAATTAAATTTTATAACAAAATTTTTATTTAAATTCTTTTAAAAAAATTTTACTCGAATGAATACAATTTTTTAATTAACGTTTTGTCGAAGAGAAAAAACAAAAACAGATGTGTACAAAAAATAAAAATAATGAAAAAGACAACCTGACCACTTTAAATTGGGATACTAAAACGTATATACACAACAATTGCCTATGAAATTAAACAATTAATCATAATCTTGAAGTACAAGTACATAAATGTCTTTGGTACGTAATATTGTTATTTTAGAAAAGTATAAAAACGTAAAAAAATCAAATATGAGATTACGATAAATTAAGTAGTGCTGTCACAAATAAAAGTACTTAAAGAATTAATTTAACTTACTACATCAAGTTCAGATCTATATACATGTACCTAAATTATATACATGTGTAATATAACATGTATATACATTGTTAATTAACTATTAACGCAAAATAATCACCTCATTTTGTTGCCTAACTTTTAAAAAGATGTTTTTTTATCTAAATAAAGCAGGTAATTCAAACACTTAGTAAACGACCTAATATTTAAGTATGGATTTAATATTTAAGTAAGAGATTTTAGTCCAACTATTTTTAATGAGAAATATAATGTTTAAAGAAATTTACCACTTTACTTTCTTTAAAAAACTGGTGTGAATAAAAAAAATATTCAACACTGAAATTTTTGAAACGTTGAAAATTTTAACGTCAGATGTTGTTTTTTATCGATATAATAAAATCTGTTAATATGAACTAAAAAAAAATTTTAAATCATTTTTTGAAATTTTGCAAAGTTAATTAAAATTTTGTTGCTGTTAATATAATAAACTTAAAACACTAATAGTTTAAAGAATAAAGTTTAGCACTTGAATGATGTTTTAACAGAAATTTATAAGGTTAAATTTTTTTAAACTCAAAACCATTGATAGTCGACGAATATTTTAAATATAAAGTGCAACTGTAAAACTTTAGGTTTAAAAATATTGATTTAAATTGTATTTTATTCTACAAAAATATCGGTTTAAATTTGTAAAAAGTCATTTAAATAATTTTTCATACGAAAAATCTCACATTCCATTTAAATGTGAGTTTTAAATTTTAAAGTGGTAATTTTTGGATTAAAAATTTATCGACTACCATTTAAATATTTTTTTTCAAATTTAAACTAAAAATGTTTATTTTTAACAATTTTAAATTGATATATTTTAACACAAAATACAAAGGGCCAAGTCTGCAGTGTATACAGTCAACTAAAGCAGCGTTTACACTTTAAAATTGTAAAAAATAATAAGTCATGATGGTCAATACATTTTTAAAGCGAAAATTACCACTTTAAAATTTAAAACTAACATATGTAATAATATGTAATAATATACGATTTGTTGTATTAAAATTTTATCGACCATCATTTAAACCGATAATTTTGTAGAATAAAATAATAAAACTAGAATTCTTCTAAATTAATATTTTCAAACTTTTACAGAACTTTGCATTTCATATTTAAACTATTTTGGTAGAAAATGTTTTTAATTTAAATGTCTCGAAACTATATTTAAATGCTAAAAAAATAATTTTATTAAATATTTATTTAAGATTGTAAAAAAAATTATACTTGAGAAATTATTTTTTCTTACTACCTCGACTCAAAATACGTTGTTTCGTCCCCGATTTCACGGCAGAAAGTTTACGTTTCTTGCATTGGTCAAGCTATACGCGCACACTCTAATAGCGGGAGTAAAAATTTTTTAGTCTTGTGCTTAACATTCAAATTTCGTACTGCCAACATGAGAAACACAAAAATATGACAGTTTTAAACCATAATTTTGCAATTATAACAACAAATAAACAATTTATGTTTTTACTTTTTTACTTTTTATGTTGTTTTAAGTGTTTAATGGTACTTTTATTTGTTATAAAGTAGTAATTTGTTAATTAAAATACAACCTTTTATTTTTACTGTATTGGCACCGCTGAATTACCATGACAACGCTACAGTTTGATTGATTTTGAATGTAAACGTCAGAATTAAATTAAACGTCAGATTTTAATTTTGACACAAGTTTTTTTATATACATTTAATTTTTTCCCGTATTTTCTGCGGGGTAGCAAGAAAAATAGTATACACTACACGGGCAGAAAGTGTGGGATTCCTGCACTGCGCGCCATGATGCCCTCGGCTTCGCCTCGGGCATCATGGCGCGCAGTGCAGGAATCCCACACTTTCTGCCCTTGTAGTGTAATATACTATTATTAAAACATAATAATTTTCTATAGAAAGTAAGGTCGCAAATTGATATTTGGCAGTAATATTAAGTAGCTAAAAAACTCTTACAAAACATATAACACTCAAAACTAATGCATTGATTATTATAAAAAAAATTGAAAATAATACTTCATTATTTACACACATCATAAATTTATATATCCAACCATGGTAAATACTGCGAATGACTAGTTGTCTTAGGGTGTTTTCATTTCGTTCTATAGAAAGTTTATAAAAGGATTTGAAATGGAAACACCTCAATTAATATTTACTTCAATTATGTAGAGGTATAGGTATGCGCTTACTCAACTTAATATGCGATGTTTCCCTCAGAAGATTCATCATGTCTTTCGGAGATGAAGACGACATGTATCGATTCTTCAGCATTTTCTTCTTCCTCCCGTCGCAGGAGACAAAGTTCTTCCAGTTTTTGGGTATTAAAGCTCCCAATCGCTCGCATTCTCTTGCGTATGCGATAAAGCTTTCGCAGTACCAATTTTCATCGATGCAGTTGAATCCGTCCACTTTGCAGGCGTTGTAGTAGAAGCTCGGGCTCAACTTCGAGTCGCACTTCTCGAATATCTGGCTGTTCCCGAGCAGGTTGCACTTTTTCGGCACGTTGTGCTTCAAGCAGGACCTGCCCGGTTTCACCTTCTTGGCGCAGTCCCTCTTGTTGCCTACGCACCAAGTGCTACCGAATATGTTGGTCTCGTTGTCGCGCATCAATCTGCCGTTCTTGGCGATGAAATCGTCCTGCACGTTGCCGTTGAAGTTGCCGCACAGCCCGCAGAGTTTGTTTTTGTAGCTTGCCGGAACGGAAACCTCCAAGAAACTCCTCCCGTTCCACATCAACTTAACCCCATTCTCCAGCGTAACCTCAATGTTATCCCTGCTCTTAGTTATCCTCAACTTACCCTCCCTATGGTACGGTATCTTTATCAACGTCCCGTTCACTTTAACCCTCGTTTTCTGCTGCAGATTCACTCTTATATCGCTGTATTTAACAGTGACCCTTTTGGTTTTCGACGACGATAAACTTTTGTTTATAGTGTTGGCGACTTTAATGTAGAACGACTTGTCTCTACAGTCGGCAGTGAGCTGGTACTTCCCGTTTCCCTTGAAGTCGTACAGTTTTCCATCAAATGTCTTATAGTGCGGATCTCCAAACACCATACAGACTCCATCAGCTAAACAAATATCAATAATGTTGATAAACAAGCATTAGAAATATTACCCTGACGGCAAAATTTGATTCTAAGAATCTTCTAAGAAGATATGACCCGGAATAATGGAATATTCTTGCTAAGAATGTTCTTAGGGACTTTTAAAACATTCAATAGATACCCTTTTAATGATGCAATTAGATTCTTAGAAGCTTCTTAAAACCTTCCTAAAAAGCATTCAAAGAACATTTTAAGAATACCTTTTTGGAATGTTCTTAGAAGGTTTCTTATGGAGCTTCTAGGAAGCTTTTGAGAATATTTCCAAATATGTCAGATACCCACGTTCTAAAATGTAGGATTCTACATTCGTAAAATTCTTCAGGAGGCGACAAATACGCCTCACTGTCATAATATGACAGTGAAATGTATTTGTCGTCCCCTTAAAAAATTTTGCGACATAATAATATATATTTATTTAAAAATACTAAATAAACAATTTGACCTTTAAACCTTAAGTTGTATGACATTATTTCATATAAAGTAAAATTGGAAAATTTTGTGGGATAAGTCAGATTAGATTGAAGTTGAAGATAGTTAGGATTATTATACATAAAAATGTTAATTCAGATATAAAAAATCGGTATACAAATTAATAAATATTAATTTTTAACATAAAATAAAATATAAAAAAACAAAATATTTCCTTATAAAATAATTCTTCATAAAAGAAAAAAACAAATAGTTCTTCAAAAAAAAACATTTTTCATTGTATTTAAGTTGGATAGAAGATTTTATGTAAAAGCCGGATAATTTAGATACCTATAGTAAAAGTATTTTTGTTATCGAATATTGTTTTAATTTGATAAATAACTATAAAAATATTTTGGGTTGTGTTTTTACTTAGTAGTTAATACTAAGTATAGGTACCCTTATACGTAGATTTTGGTATATTTTACTATTATATAGGTACCTAACTGAACTGAATATGCTTAACAGAATGTTTCAGGAATATTCCTAAATGAACTTTCTATTGCAATTCTCAACATTCTAAGCATATGTTTAGAATGGATTAATTTTTACCACTAAACTTTGCACCTTCTAAGAACCTGCCTATAGGCCTTAGGATTATGCTATATTTCTTTTAAGCATGTTCTTTAGGAGAAATATAGCATGATCCTAAGAATATTCTTACTGGACGGTTTAAAAAACATTCTTAGAATAAACTGTGCTATCAGGGTTCTGATATTTGTTTAACATATCACCAACGATATCTTACCTTCTTCACATTTGGGGCAGCATTCTCCCGGTAGCTTCCTCAACGAGGCCCCTGGAGGACAATTGGTCTTGTTGCACTTGGTCTTGGCGCAGCTGGGTTTCCCCTGGTGGCATTTGCACGAACTGCATTCGTTTAAGTTCCACGATTCACCATCCTGCCTAGCAAAAATAATATTGTAAAACACGGAAACAAATCGACTTCGGGATAGTACTTGCCTCATAGGATTTTCCGTTGTAGAAGCATTGCGTTCTGACTTCCTCCGGTACTTTGCATTGCTTGCAGCACGAGCCGGATATTGGGCGTTGCATATCCGGGGTGCAGTCCAGTATGGGACAGGCGTTTCTGGTGCAAATGGACGTCTCGTTCGAACAGGTACAATTCGTGCACTTATCGACGTACAACGACTCTCCTTGCTTGTAGAAAAACGACTGTATCAAGCAGGATTTATCGTGGCGAATCATCTCGCGCTTGCCCCGGCATTTGGGGCAACATTCGCCCATCGCGTGGTACTGATTTTGAAACGGGCACTGCAAAACTGGGCATGCCTTTTTCGCGCAGGTCATGCGGTTGTTCGCGCAGCTGCACTTAAGGCAGGGGTCGTCGTAGATGACGTCACGGTCCTCCGAAGCTATTTGACCGTTGATTTTGCATTCTGTATACAAGAAGAACTATTACATGCTTTGTTATGGTACTGGTAGATGGTAGGGAAACAGAAGAGGACTAAACACGTGAACGGGTTTAATATCAAATGAGGTTATTTAACTTGGTTCATTTAAAGGCAATGTTTTATATATTATAGATGAAGGTCATTTAAATTCGCTCACACGTCTACAGACACCTGCGAATCGGTACTGCATGCTACAACACGATGTTGCTGCTCCTAATATACTACATAACATAATTCGGTCGAAAAAGTTAAGTTTGGAAAAAACATTTTTTTAGGTTTTGTATTTAAAATGATTTTTTTTGGCATGTTCATGTTTTTCCAAATGATCCAGTTCGGTACGTACATTTGTTGGAGCAGAATTAAATAATGATAACTTTACCTAATAATAGTTGTACAAACATAACCTTAAAATTAAACATTTTTATACTTGAGTCCTCTAAAAAACATATTAAATACAATGCATAATAAAATACCCGTTTTTGGTCTTTCACCGTTGAGTGGAGACTTAATGAATTTAAATGTTTACAATTTTTACGAAAATCATTTCTAAAATGTGTATTTATTTTATCTTATAGTTACAATTTATATTTACAGGGACTGTATGCAATTTATTTATTCATTCGGATTTCCACTGTTTATTGGGGGTATTTGTTAAACGATACATAAAACTTATTACAGTTATTATTATAACAATTATTGGTAGTATAAAGTGAGGTTATCGAATAGCTAGTCTTAATTATTTTTAAAGTGTAGGAAATAAAGCTGAAATTATAGAACTCTTAAAGATAAAATTAATTTTGCAAAAATGGCGAATGCGCCGGGATCAATCGTTTAATATTTAAAAAATAGTTAAAAAATCTTAAAACCCAAAGATATCCTTAGTTACATTCTGCCTAGGTACTCATAAAAATAATAGCAAAAAACAAAAATCACAAAAATGTTATGCTTGTAAAGATTTTTAATTAAAATATAATTCCGACACAATTTATAGTTATTACTACGGAATTTTATCGTATAAAATACGAGAAGAAACGGATTCTAATTTTCCACTGAACAAGGATAAAAAGCTTTAGCTCAAGCGCTTTTAATGGCTACCTATTCAATAATGTTCAATAATTATACCACCGCACTTATTAGACATCATTCATAACCACATAATAATTGTAATTAGGTTGAATCGCATCGAATTAAACAACTTTCTTCGCGTTGAATGTTAAAAGTACTAAATCCTTTCAGGAATTTTATTTTTTAAATCACAAGGAACTGGAATTGTTAGATAAAAGATACTTACCAGGACAAGTAGAACAACATTTTCCAGGCTCAGGTGGTAAGGGATTTGCGCATGGGGTATGGCAAATCATGTCCGATTCTGTTACAATTCCAGCTTCACACCTCAATGTAGTACAGGGCGATTTAGGATCAGTCCAATCAGTATTACTTTGATAATACATTCCCTTGTAAAAGCAACCTTAAAAAATATTTATTTTAATTGTTGTTGTTATTTTTTGTTGTTAAAATGTACCTTTACATCTTTTACAACACCCCGTTATTTTTTCCAACAAAAAGCAGTCGTCTGTTCTTGGACATCCCCCACAATCCACATAACCATTCTGAAAGAAAAAATTAATGTTAATAAAATTTTAGATTTTCCCTGTATAAACCGTATAGCGTGTTATGTTGTGACGCAATGTTGTGGAGCGTTTGGCTGCGGGCTGGACGGCATACAAGAAGGCCTTGCCCCAGGCTGTCTTTGACTTGGACTTGGACTCTTTACAGAACCGGATTAACACCGATACATCTTAAAATCGTTTTTATAGTACACAATGAACAATTATCCTGTGCAAAAATTACTTTATTTTCGATTTTCGACACAATAATATATATACATACAGGGTGTTTCAGATTTTTTATTATAGGTTAGAAATGAATTATTTTATAAAAAAAAAGTTTTTGTGATTTTTTCTGAATGCTTCTCTGTTACAAGTTTGTGGTAACCAGTTAAAATGTACGATCTTTAAAAACACAATTTAAAAATTCGTTATTTATTACCATAATAAAAATACAGTTGCAATTCTATAGAACATGGAATTATAGTTTTTAAATATGCCATAAATTAGATAAATTATATAAATTGGAATATTTTTCGTTGATATTAAAATGTTTCACTTTACTATATACATAATTTAATATTTTTTGAAACGTGTAAAAGTAAAAGGATTATCGGGAGATTTAAAAAATAAAAAATTGGGCGTTTTTTAGTTATTAGTATTTGATATATTATATGCCAATATATTTCAAATTTTTGTAATTTTAGCATTTAAATTTTAAAATAAAATCAACTGTGAAAGTAGTTTTTTATGTAAAAAAATCTCAGATTTCAGGAAAACATATATCGCGGTTTTCTCAAGTGTCAAAAAAAACTAAAAAGGGATTATTTTAAAACGATTTACAGCTTGCTCTCTTTTTTAATTTAAAAATTTTTTTTTTATTTTGGAATTTTAACATAAAAAATAAATATAACTGAAAATATTGGTTAAAGTTATTTTATAAATTTACAATTGAAGGGGTACGAAACTAAAGGGTACAAGAGCATTTTACAATAAAAATAAGTTAAGTGCAGAATTGGGTAGTTTAGAGTCTAAACTTTTTTAAATATTAAAACAAGTATCCAGATTTTTGTATATATCAAAAAGTTTTCTCTTTTTTTGCACTTGTACCCTTTTACTACTTATGTACTCCTTCAATTGTAATATTTTGACCTTTTATAATTAAATGATTCAGATGTTTTTTTACATAGCAAAATTCATTAATATTTTTGCAAAATATAATGAATGCCTTTCACAGTTATCTTCTTAGAAAATCTTGTTTAAAAATTTTTTTTACAAACACAATATATGTCATTTTAATGTTGTTTTTCAGGGTTTCCTTGACACTTTTTATAACGTTAAAAAACAGAAATTACAAAAATCAAAATTTATTTGTATATAACTTAAATATAAAGAATATTTGGTGAAATATGGAAAAACATAAATTTCTTTAAAATAGTAACAATATAAAAAAAACTGAAAACCAAAAAATCCAAGATATTTAAATTTTACAGCCATTTGTAACATCTTCGTGCAAAGTGAATATCCTTGTAGTAGATAACTGAAATCCTGATATGAGTATAGAAAATAACTAATTCACAAGGCCGAATTCTCTTGATAAATAACCAAAAAACAAAAGATAAGAAATAAAATTGATGATCAAAAATCCGAAATATTTCGTAAAATACAAGTTCTCTTTCTTATTTTTAGCTTTACAAGAATGCAACCAATAAAAGAATGAAAATAAATAAAATTACATAATGGAATTTAAAAAGTTATATACAAAACACCTCGTCACGGTAATATTTTAATGACAAACTGTTGACACACTAATGTTATAACAAACAAATTGTGGATGACCCTACCATTGACCATTATTGCGTTTTTTTTGCTATAAAAGTAAGTTCTTTATATGTAATTTGCTTTAAATTTAACCAGTGCTTATATTCTAAAGAATCCGTTGGAGATAAATCTGAATGCTGAAAAACATACATGCAATTTTTTTTATCAAAACAATTGATTTCCGGGTTCATCACGTTGGTGTCGTTTCCTCTGAAAAGTTTATTTCGCATAAATTAATTTTTTATTCGCGGAAAGGTTTCTTAATAGAAACAAGAGACGTGTGAAACATTTTTAGTGAAACATTTGTTAGCAAAAATAATTTGTTTCCTCTTTCAAATAAGATTAGTATAGCAGTAAGGGACATCTAATAGCTGTAGCAAATATTTGTGTAGACAGTTATTGGTAGAAAATTTAAAATCTCAAATGTTTATGTATTTTGTTAAATAGGCATATTTACACTATTTAAAGTCTTAAAATGTTTTTTCACTCCCACCTTTAATGTATTCCATGACACTAAGTGATCTTTTAAATACACATTGAAAATGTGTGATAAATAAAAAATAAAATAAAATACATACTAACTGTCGTAGTAATGTTCTAAACTCGTTTAAAAGACATTTTTTGCAGGATTGTTAAAGAAAACTAAGTAACTATATAATCGTGGGAAATGACTTTATTCTTGTTAACGAAATGACCTGAAGAATTTATGTGAAATTAGATGATTTGCAAACAGAGTTTTTTCCATAAAATTACGTTTTTTCTAAACGTGACCACGATAAACATGATAAAATGAAACTTGCACAATAAAGCATATATCAATTTAACTAGAAATAATATTGTTCCAGAAAACTGATAAGAAATGTTATGCCAGACGGCATGTCCTGCTTTAATTACTTAATTTTAACTGATAAATGAGCTTTCGGAATTTTATTTCAAGCGATAATAACAAATTTCTTCAAAAATAGATGTTGTTATTTGTTAATTCTCAGTTCAATATAATATATTATATTATTTTATGGAGGTTTTATACTTGGTACCAACTTCATTTTATTACATTCGATTTAAAAAACTGTTTTATAATTATTTTTATGACCACTAAATTTCTGTTAAAACATCATTAAAGTGTTATTTTACAAATTCCCAAAATTAAAGAAATTTGTGTGCGAATCTAAAAGGCTTAGCCAATGGGTACTTTGTTTAAATTAAAGTGAGTCAGTAACTAATTTGATGCGGATGTGGTGGTGCGAACTTTCAGATTTGGATAAGTAATAATCGAGAGACAGCAGTGGTACCAACGTCTACGCTTCGGCTCGGAAAAAAGAAATCTGCAATATCTCATGCTATCTCCCGTATAAATTCTTGATCAAGTACAAGCAAATAAGTCTTGCTGACATTCCTGGAATGCCTCACATATCATCGGAGTAATTCTACACCGTCCACCTTTATAAGAGATATTAATTTTATTTACAAATTCTGCAACTGGTTTTACGGGTAACAGCTGAAGTCACGCGCTACCAACTTGAATTTACACACACACACATCATTTGTGTCTACCAAAAAGTTTAAAATTATTCAGAAGAAATTATATACTACTTATATCATAAAAACTACTTATTTAAAATCAAAAAATTAAACCTTGTTTCCGAATATCAAAGGCGCAATATTTAATACAAATTGACTCTAAAGTGATCCAAATTAAACAAACACATCCTAACATAAATATTTTTTTTATAACCAAGTTTTTAAAACCTACACTTAATTATGTAGGTAACGTATTAATAATATTGTTGTTAGTACATCAAATATATGGAAATTTAAAATTCTCGAAGAGACTCAAATTACAAAAAAAGGTTATCGGTTAATCTTATCTTAAATAAAATTAATTTGATGAATAGGTCGGGATATTTGTGGAATTCAAATTATCTATTTTTAAATATTATCTTCGAAAATAAATTAACAAATCATTAGACAAGTTTGTTAATTTTTTTATTTTTACTTACTTTACACAGGCAGGTTATGCAGCTCATATTTAAGCCATGGGGTATCAGGGCTCCTTCCACAAAACATTTTATCCTTTTGCCTTCTGAAATATGAAAAAAAGTTTTAAAATAAATATGAAAATTTAATAAAAACTTTAATAAAATAATATTCACAGAACAAAATTTATAATAAAATAGTAATCAAAAACAATTTAAAACTAAACATCTTATACGGAAGTTCTTATTCATTGCTTGTAGATATAATATTAACCTTCTAATATTTTATAAAAAAAAATATATCGAAACTAAAAATTAAATTAAATGTTTTAAAAGTCTAAAACCTATCCTCCGTGACTGTTACCCTTTCTAGGTTAAACTATATGTTTTCAAATATCTGAGGTAGTAAATGCATACTAAAAATATCAATTCACTAAGTAAATTAAACACATCCAAAGCAATCGAATCAAATATACCTAAAATATTATTAAAAATTAAAAGAAATAATTTTTATAACCATTTATGTAGATGTTACAAAAATTGATTCTATCCTCCGTGAATCTGTTTTTGCTTTAAATTTTATGCAACGGATGGCGCTTTAATCATTTTTAATAAGCAAAAACCTCTGTTTACGACATTATAGATGCATGTGATTTCTGAAGGTCAGTTAGAATTTGTATGCAGATGAGAGTGTTGCTGTTTTATAATTCAAAAGTTTAAGTTCATTGATTTGCTATTTAAAAACGTGAAGTGTAATATCTCAGTAAGTAAGTAGATTTTTTTTAGAAATATTTTATGTATTTTTAAAAATTATTAGGTGTCAGAAGATACAATAACTTATTTTAAATATACAAAGGGATGTTTAAAAAAAACATAGAAAATCCTAACCTCCGTGAAGCTATCTTCCTTGAAGCTCTAATATTCAAAATGTATGATTTCTTAAAATTCTTGCATTAGTGCAGAACCACTTATGTTATTACTAGACCTGGTGGCTTCCCAAAAACCCCATTCTGGACTAACAGTGAAACAACCAAACCCATATGGAAAAAACCCAATATTATGCAATAGGAGTAAATAAAAGTTATTAAGGAATGTATACTTTTATTATTGAAATTCTTATATAACGATTTATAGTCCCAATGAAAACCAGCTTATAAAAACATAAAATATTTCGTCTTATCAAGCTAAAAGCTATTAATTTTTTTCAACTACAATAATTTATGAGAAATACTTTAATAGTTAGTTGAATTTAATAAATCAAATTTAAGATTAGTGTGTAGTAGCCGGGTCCACTTTGGCAATAATTAAAGTATGTTTTTAAAATATCCAAAACTCACACACCTTAAAATTTGTTTTCTGTCATTGCGACGACGACCTAGAATCTTAAGAACGGGACCTTGGGCAATTTTAAGTTTATCATTTTTTACGTACATACACAATCTTCAACTTTCATGACCTAGTCAACAAAATGTTCTACGAGGTAAGGTTCGAGAGTTAGATAAAAAAAATTAAAAATATAGAAATTACCAAGAACCATTCCACTAATCTACTGGACAAACAGACACACAAACCCCAACAACAAACAAAAAACTTAAAATATGCATACGTTTTACAGTTGGCGACGTAATTTTTTGTAATTGCGTTTAAATGCATGTCGGCACAGTGTGCAGTTGGTGTTGAAAAATCAGACACCAATCGAAAAGAACAAAAAAATTACATCCATAACTAAAACTTGTAATTACTGCCAATGGCTGTTCTCACGAAACACATTTACTTTGAATGACAATTTGAGGATTCTGGGAAAAATGCTTGTCGATAATTAAGGATTTAATTAAGTATACTGTAGATATTGCAATTCACACGAAAATGCAATAAAATTTTAAAAATACCCTCAAAAAATATTACTTTTAATTGAATTGAATTTAATAGAATTATAGAAAATAATAAACTAATCAGAACAATGCATTATCCACAGCACCCTAGGCACGATGGAAAATGCAGAGCTCTGATTGGTTTATTGCTTTCTATAGAGATCATTTTAAATATATACATATATATTAATTGAAATTGAAATTAAAGTAAACCTTGTATAATTGTAATAAATTAAATACAGCATACATTCTGTAGCTATTCGTCGAATTTAAGACAAGTAATTAGAAAAACAGGTGTAAAGGCGCAGCTTGATTTAGTTTTATGCAGACATCAAGGTGTGCCTAGCATCTACGCACCATGACATATTTTTTATTTTTTAAATCAACATCAAAAAACTAAACAAAACGAAGAATTTTACAAACAAAATATTAAAAATTAATGTTAAAAACGTGAATAAAATATAGGTAGGTATTCATATAAACTATTTAGTTTAAGTTAAAAAAAATGTATGTAGGCTTAAACTTAAACATAAAAATCTATTTATATAAATTAAATATTTTATCTGTACAAAATCAGTTTGTTAAGAAACCTACATACTGTATAAATATCCGTCTAATAATAAAGTATTTTTTATTGTATCTTTTAGTACCGGTTTTCATTTCTACGTTGATCAAATAATGGTGAAAAAAATGATAATTTTCTAGTGAGTGATTCAAAAGCGTAGCGAGTCAATTCAATTTCCATCAGATAGAAAACTCACTTTTTTTGTATTTTTATTAAAAAAGGATTAATTATAAAATAAAAATCATCATGAACATCATTTAAAGAGTATTTATTGCTTGAAGAATAAAGTTTTTATTGGAAGAATGAAAATTATTTATTTTTACGCAATTTATTCAAGATACATCACAATTATCCCAATAGCACGTCAATTTTCTAAGGTCCTTGATTTTGTGGTGAGGGGAATTTAAGCTTAAATACTAACAACGCTGGTGGTTTCAGTGAACATCAGAAGCTTTTGAATAAAGCAATACATACTTTATAATATTATAATAAAATGTGGTTAGGTCAATAGTATATGCTTTTGTAGCAAGACAAATGTTCTTTCTTTGAAAGTTCCTAAGCTTTTCAATTAAGAGATGCAGTTTTCTTGTTAAAATACCATTTTTAGCGCTAAAAAACGTTTTCTTCATTCAAAAGAGAAATATCTTCCAAATACATATTTTTGGTTCACATATTATTTTTTTCAGTGTAAATTAAGCAGATATGGACAGAAAAAAGTTTAAGATATATCCGGACACCCAATTAAATATACTATTTTATTGTTATGACACCGAGTCCCATATTGATAAGACCACATGTGCCTAAAGACAATCAGAATAAATTCCAATGAAGAAGTTTCAGTTTTACCAAATAAGGACAAAAGGTTTGTAAACATTGATATGGTATTGTCCAGTGGTATTTTTCGTTTAGATCATAGTGTACATAATCAATGATCAATATTCACAATTAAATGTATATTTATATTGAGACATTGGCGATCAATAATGCTCATTAAAAATGCAAAAGATTTCACAAAACTCTATATGGCCAATTTATTTTAATTCCAATTAAGTAAAATATTTATCGAAATAGTAACATGTGTTTTCTTCTGGGAATAATGCACATTTCTAGACATCAATAAATTACTGAAAACATTAAGCATTTCTTTAATTCCTTTACTAAATGATTATGGTTATTTTATCTAATTTAAATCATTAGATACATTTCACATGAATTTTTATAAATAAAAAGGCCAGTTAAATGATATAATCAGGCCAAAGAAGGCAAGAAGTATAAAACTCGTACGGAGTAATGTCTTAATGATCTCAATAACAGTAAAATTACGCTTTTTTCCGACAACATCTAATAGATGCAATACTTCTTACCCGTAAACGTATTTTCCAAATTCGCTTGTCGCTCTGCCCTTAATTATTCACCATGCTTTCGCAAAATTCTCCCGGGACAGAGATTTTATGGAAACTTGCACACTCAAACTAGTGTCAAACGACGTTTGATTTTTTTTGGTTTATAGCCTGCTTCAATGTGGTACTCCGGTAATTCTAGACCCACTACATATCGAGGTGAAACTTTGATTTATTACACTGTATAAATTTAATTCGAAATTAATAAATCAAAAACAAGTACTCGTTTAACATTTTTTGCATACATTGTTGTAAATGCATAAAGTTATTATTAAATCTGTGTAGGCTTTAAACATTATTACATGCAAAGAACAATTACAATTTTAGTTTATCGATATACATATCATCTTTGAATACATAATTACTCATGGTAAAAAACAAAAAATAACAGAGTCGTTTTTAAAGTAATTTATTGTAAATTCTATAAAAAAATAATTTTATACCTTACATTTAGTTTGGTCGAATTTTACTTTAGATAGTTGGTATCAGTCATTGGTTTGACAGTTAATGTCAAAATCGATTCGCCATGCCGTCCTTAATTTACTTATTTACAATAAGCGGCTGTTAATGTTAAAGAAGAAAAAAAGGATTTTCTTTGGTGTCAAAGAAAATTTATTGCCAGAAAAGTCTCGTAAGTACTAGAAAAATTATAAAAATATTATAACCAAAATGCAAAATATTATGCTGTTTAAAGTATAGCCAACCTATAAAATCGAAAGTTTATAAACGAGGTGCATACTATACTTTTTCTATGACAAATACTTATTATTATCTTAAAATGATTTAAATCAAAAATTTGTATAGAGCACCATCTATTAACAACAGGGGAAACTGTCAAATGTCACATTTTTACATTTTATAAACACAATTATAAAGGTTATAAATCGAAATGTATCTTGAAAATTGACAGTTTTTCACAGTGAAAATAAAGGAAATGTTTTATGAGGACTTTACAGTAGAGTCCGTGCCCGAATTTAAGTTATAGTTTACTGCCGGCGAAATTAAAAGGTCAGTACAATGTTCATATAAACTTTTCAAATATTGGCGTTGAGAAAATATTTAATATTTTTGTATTTTTGTATTGAGATAATAAAATAATTTTCACATTTAGTATTATTTTACAAGAAAGGCACTTTATTTTAACGATTGTATGACATTTGACAACTGTCAACTAACTTAAAACTAACTTCAGCCCGTGACTAAAAACCTGTTGCTAACTTCAGCCCGTGACTAAAGAGCCGTAAAGCCACAACTTGTCAATGTGTATTTAA